TGCTCTGCCCAGCTGCCCTGCTGGGAGCTGTTTAGTGTGGACACAGTCATTTATGAAGGGTCTGCGCTGGTCTGCACATGAGCTCCATTTCAGAGTGCTATTGTTCACGTGATCTGTCCCAGCGCATCTAGTGTCTTGGCAACATAAACTGGATTTGCATTGTGTAAGGGGTCTCCTCTGTCTCTCTCTCTCTACATAGATCTTGCTGGAGTCTGGGATCTTTTCTGGGTCATTCTTTGCTTTGCTCTGTGGCCCATGGGATAGGCCCCGTGATTGGCATGGATCTCTCTGTGTGGTTCATGGGACTTGTGTGTTGTGCCCAGGAACCCCTTCCACCATGGTCAGAGATTTCTCCATGAAGCACAGGATCAACTCGGTGGTGTGTACTCCAAAAGCCAACCCTCCCTGTCCTGAGCCCCAAGCTGGGCACTGGGATCAGGGCTAATGTGTACACTCCAAGCAGACAGGTAGTGAAGGAGCAGACTCATAGTGCATAGGGAAGTGGACTGGAACACTCCAGAACATCCATTCCCCACTCAGATCACAGACCATTATCTGTGCAGTCCATCAGACAAGGACTTGTGCTGCAAAGGCCACTGTCACCTAAGAAGGAACCAGAGGAAGTCACATCAGGATCACCTGGGGCGCCACATGAACCCACAGTGGCCAAGGTGGACTTCTGTCCTTATCTGTTTATAGTAATAGCCACAACAAAAGGACCTTTACCCAGTGGCTACTATGTGTCAGCACTGTGCCAAGAACTCTACCCATGATATCCTGATAATCCTCACAGCAACCTGTGGAATTGGTATTATCAGCCCCAAAACTGAATTCCAGAGAGGTAGATGATGAATGATGAGCTGAGTTCACCGGAGGGTAGATGAGCACCTGCAATCACACAGTAAGTGACAGTGCTGGAATTTGAGCCTGGTTGTCCCAAAGCCTCTGTTCTTTTTACCACACCAAACACACAAATGCAGTTTCTTTTGTCATTAGCCCAGTGCTTTTCCCTTGGCATAGACACAGTGGATGCTGATTTTTGCCTTCATCAGCAAAAGTCTTTACCCCAGACACATAACTGGAGATCAGTCTTAGAACAGAGAGCACTAATGCAGGAGAAGGGCATGGGCCCCTTTGATTACTGAACACGCAGGTCACTCGGAAGAGTGGAAGCCTCATCAGAAACCTCCGGATTTGACAGGACATCTGTTTCTAGGAGCACAGTGGGTGTAAACAGAGCAGCTGCCAGCCTCTGTCCTGGTTGGGGTTTTGTGTTTGCTGGTTTTTTTTTTTGTTTTTTTTTTTAAACACATTATGCTCTATTAGAACTACCCCTATTTGGCATCAAAAGCATTAATAAATCCCACATAAGGCACAGTCCCTCCAGTGGTTAATCAATCCATAAAAATCTATTTAGCACCTACTGTGTGTCCAGCATTTCAATCTCACGACGTTGATTAAAGCAGGAAGTAAGGAGTCACAGCTGCCAAATTTTCACCACGGCCACCTGCTCTGTGATGTGTCACAAAGGCATTTGCCAATCATGCAATCAACCATTTACTGAGAACCTGCTTGGTTGCTCAACTCTGTGCTGGCAACTCTCAGGAAGACAGGGAAGGTATAAGGCGGCTTATACGCCAATCACTTTTACCCTGCCTATTTTCCAAAAGGTGGTCGAGGTTTCCTATTACAATACTTGGCTCTTGTTCTTGACAAGGGTTAAGGTAATAGCAGTTGTTATCAAGAAATATAACTTAGTGCTCACCTGTGGGGAAGAGACTCTCAAGTGTTATGGGGTTACAGAGACGATTCCGGATGGCTTCCTGGTGGAGGAAGGTCTAAGAGTGGACCTGAGGAGAAGGCAGTTTCTGTGGGAGGCAGAGGGAGCCCAGACCAGGCAGAGGGGAAGGCAGAGGCCAGGAGGTAGGGGGAGGGAGGATTGCTGCATCGCAGGACTCATTACCATATGATCCTTTCTAAAATGTGACTTGTTAAGTCATTTCCTTTGGGTGAAAGTGAAAGTGTATTTTCTTCCTCCCTCCTCCCCCCGCCCCCTGCCCGCCAAATCAGTGAAATATTAGATTCTAGTAGTCAGAATGAAACCAGTGGTGTCTTTTTTTGGCATTCTCAATGGCAAGAATTCAGCACCTTTTTTTAGTACCACTTGTTTGCAGGTGGCAGGAGTGCTAATTAAACGGAGCCACTAACAATTTTCCTGGGTGGCTCTGACTCCCAAACTGATATGAGACACTGCTTGCGCGTTTTAAGAGAGCGGCTTCTGCTCTCTCCATTGGTAATGGGATTCTTCATCCATGGTGTCCAGAGGAATGAACTGAAGAGTTGCTCAGTATATATTTATTGGTTGTTAAATTGTTGACAGTGATTGAAATGTCACTTTCCTTTTTCAGTGTTAAAGAAGGGGCCGGTGTTTCTCTATGACAGATTATTAAAAATAAGACCCAGATGATTGTTAGGATAGATTGCAAGGAAAATTTAGTTTGAATTTTAGAGTGTTTTTTTTTTTTTTACTCATTGAAGCATGTTCACTAATGATACAATTCAGGAGACCCTTTTTTTTTTTTTTTTTTTTTTTTTTGAGACACAGTCTCACTCTATCACCCAGGCTGGAGTGCAGTGGCATGATCTCGGCTCACTGCAACCTCACCTTCCAGGTTCAAGAGATTCTCCTGCCTCAGACTCCCACATAGCTGAGACTACAGGTGTGCACCACCACGCCAGCGAATTTTTATTTTTATTTTTTGTAGAGATGAAGTTTCACCATGTTGGCCAGGCTGCTCTTGAACTCCTGACCTCAAGTGATCTGCCTGCCTCTGCCTCCCAAAGTGCTGGGATTACAGGCCTGAGCCACCACATCTGGCCAGAATTCAGGAGACTTTTGAGAGAAAATTGAGCCCTGATAGCTCTTGGCATAAACGTATTTTTAAGCTGTTTTTAAGAAAAAAGAGGTAAAGTTCCTACCTACCTCCTGTTCAACTCTAGAATCCATCAGTGCCACTGTTTCCATCTCCCTCTGGGTTTTCGGTAGGACTTAGGGCCAATATCAGGCTTGTGATTATGGTCATTTTGGAGCCCCCAGTTGGGCCAGAGGAAGGCCAGTGACCACTCACCTAGCACAAGTGGTGACTGCCTTGACTGTCCCCAGGACAAGGGCCCTCCACTGTCCTCTGCCCTCTGCTGGGACCCAGGCAGCCTGAGAGGGTACCCAGTCCACACGGGCTGCACGTGGAGCACAGCAGGAGGAGACCGGATGACCTCGTGGAGCCTTGGCAGTGAATCTCATTTTCATCAGCAATTTATTGAACACACCTGGGTCCAGGGCTCTGTCTCTGGAGTTACTGACAATCACTGTACCCCCATAACTGAAGTAGCCTGTCACGGTCACAAGCAAATGACAGCCTGTCTTCCAAGACACACATTCTCTATTCTCCCGGCAGATGGAAGTGTTGGGGGTCAAGTTTCATGCAGCCTCAGAGTTTGAGATTAACCTTGGTTTACGATGTGAAGTATCTAATGGTTTCAGCTATTTTGGGTCCTCTGGACTATGTAAATCCGTGTCTCCTCTTCATGTTCACCCCTACCAGAATCTGTGAAGCTGCACATGTTTTCTGTGCTGAGGGGTCCAGGAGGAAACATTTGTGAGACCACACCTAGTGGAAACATGAACGTCAACAGCATTGCTGAGGCTTCACGCCCAGGGAACAGAGGGTGACAAGGAAGTGATGATTTCACCAGGGTACCTGCTGAATATTTACTGAGGGTCTTAAAAATAGCCTACAGTCTGTGATACAAGCCACCATCTGGTCCAGGTGTACCTTACTGTAAGAAAATATGATATATGAAAATTCAAAAATGTAAAGCAGAAGGATTTTCTAGTTTGCATCACAAAAGGATGCATGGGCTTCCCTTGAGTGAACCTATTCCCTTAGATACTTAATCTGTGGCTGATTTACTGGAAATTCAGTTCACATCCAACTGGTCAGAAACACACTAATTTATTTTCATTTATTTAAGATGTATCACCTACCTACTTCCAAGAGGCCTTGAGCAACTCACAGGTTAAAACATGGGGCAAAAGAAGCCTTTTAGGAATGAAACAGAACAGACAGGTGATGAGGTAGAGGCCTCAGGCACTCACGATGAATGGTTTGCCACAATTAGGCTCTAAGGAAAATAGTGCAAGTATGCCGGGTTACCTGACTGTATAAAGAAAGGAATATTTCTATCAGGTTATAAAATGTTTTGAATAGTAACTGCTTAAAAATCAGAGACTATTACAAATGGAAGAATGTAGTATTGTTGAGATAAAAGGTTTCTCCTCTAGACTATTGGAAACAAATGCTAACTGTGGAAAAGTAGTAACGCTATAGGCCTGTTATGTTAACATTTTTCACTACTCTCAAACCCTTACAAAATATTTATCAGACAATTTTTGTTAAAAAAATTTCAATCCTTTGCAGATTCATTTATTGCAGATTCAGGGAAATGATTGCAAATCAGACACATCTCCTTTAGGTGGCTGTGAATTTTCCTAGAATGCAATGAGTATTTTCTAGTTAAAGTCTAAACTCTCAATAATGTCGATATGGCTTCAGGACAATTTCAAAATTAGAGAGTTCTGGCTAATGTAAAATTTCACTAGATACACCCAGAATTTAAATAGGAGAATAGGCAGGTTTAGGAAAGAGTCAGAACAAGATTTGAAATCTAAGATATTTCTATACCAATCTACAGGTAAATTCTTTTTTTTTTTTTTTTTTTTTTGAGACACAGTTTCACTCTGTGCCCAGCCTAGAGTGCAGTGGTGCGATCTTGGCTCACTGCAACCTCTGCTTCCAGGTACAAGTGATTCTCATGACTCATCCTTCCGAGTAGCTGGGATTACACAAGTGTGCCACCACACCCGGCTCATTTTTAGTACAGATGGGGTTTCTCCATGTTGACCAGGTTAGTCTGGAACTCCTGGTCTTAAGTGACACCTGCCTCGGCCTCCCAAAGTTCTGGGATTATAGGCGTGAGACGCTGTGCCTGGCAGTCTACAGGTAAATTCAATTAAACTGAATTTGAGATTTTAAAAGGGTACAGCTATGACTTATCATTATCCTCAAGGCCAGTTTTACTGGGAATCAAAATTGAGGTATGGCAATTGATGTGTATGTGTTGTTCAAAAGCAATGGAACGTTGAGTTGGGGCGACAGTACGTGAAATAATGATGTACGAATGATGACAATGTCAGCAAAAGCAGATATTAGTTCAGTACTTACTATGCAACAGACACGGTTTAAAACTCTATTTTTCTTATTTCTTTTTATTTTAAATATTTAGTAATATTTAAAAATACTATGTATTTTTATATGTAAATATGTACATATTTAAATATGTAATAATTTTCATGCAGACATATAGAAGGAGGGAGTCCGGTTAGATGAAGGCTAAAGCTTCATCTGTCTCAAAACCAGAGTGGAAGTTGAACAGTGCCTTGCTCTGGGAAGCTCCGGGTGTTCCTAGATGATGGCTGCATCTTGCATGCTGCTAACATCTGACCTAAAGGAGACTGAAAGATAAGATGAGAATGATTGAAAGAAGCCCAACTGTATTAATCATTTATTTCTGCCTATCAAATTTGTCCAAAACTTAGCAGCTTAAAACAAACAAGATTTATTTCCTCACACTGTCTGAGGGTCAGGAATCCAAGAGCATTGTGGCTTGGTGGTCCTGGCTCCATGTTTCTCACAAAGTTGCAGTCAGACGTCAGCTGAGGCTACAGTCATCTCGAGGCTCTGCTGGGGCTGATGGATTCACTGCCAAGTTTACTCACATGGCTGTTGGCTGGAGGCCTCAGTTCTTTGCCATGTGGCTCTCTTTACAGGGCTACCTGGTTTCTGCCTGAGCAGCAAGTGATGAAGGAGTGTGAGCCTATGAGAGAGCAAGAGAGTGAGCCCAATCGTGGACTGACCACACAATTGACCCTGGTTTACTGTGAGAAAGGACACAGGCTATGAGCACCAGGAGGTGGGGATCATTGGACGCCATCTTGGAGGCTGGCTACCTCACCATCATCTTAGATTCCATGATTTCTCGGCAATGGAAGGATGACAGGATGTATTTCCCAGATTTCAGGAATTCAGGCTTCTGATGGTCCCCAAGAAATCAGAGGACATGAGACTCCAAAAAGAAGAGAGATGGCTCAAGAAGGTGGGAGAACTCCTGGTAAAATTCCAAATGTGTAAATTGCCAGTGCTCTTGAAGAGAAATAGTAAGGTGGGAACAGGTTGCTGATGAGACCAGGGCAGCTCCTGGAGAAGCTCACCTTTGAGTAGAGCTGGCAAAAGGGAACAAGGAGCATAGTGTAGCAGAGTCACACAAACCTAGTTTGCTAATTAGGTCTGATTAATTAAGGCAGTGAAATTGTAAGGATAACAACAACCAAAAAAAGCTTTTTTTTTTTTTTTTTTTGGCACGGGCAGAAAATCAAGAAAGGAACTTCTCTATGGCTTCTGTGGAGTCAACTCTTCCTGACTGCCTGACTGCCGCGAGGTACCAGGTAAGGTGTAAGGTACAGAGTACACAAAGGAAAGGTCACTGCCCTCAGAGGTCTCCCAGTCAAATGGGAAGGCAAATGCAAAATGCCATTCAGCATAATCAATACCATAATGAGATTCTGGCCAGGAAGGTCAGGTACACGAGGAAAGGCTCTGCAGTGCTACCTGGGGCAGGTGAGTCAGGGATGACCTGGCCGAAGAGATTACACTTGAACTGAGTCTCAAAGGATCAGCAGGAATTTGCCAAGTGAACCAAAGGAGAAAGGGCAGAGAAAAAGGAGACACCGAGCACAGAGGCATGAAGTAGCTGGGCAGGCTGGGGGAGCTGCCAGTGTTTTATATGATTAGAGCAAGGTGGAGGAGCAGACAGGGCTGGGGAGGACTATGGAACCCACTTTGCAAGGCCTTGAGTGCCTGTACTGGGAGTGGACAGGGTGGTGTTGGTCAAAATGGGGTCTTACATCTGAATCTCTTGGGAGGTTTGTGAAAATGCAGATTCTTAAGCCTTATCTTATGTCCATATGGGCAGACTGCTCAGCGTAACTCTTTTCTTCCTGAGCTTGACTACATTTCCCAGCATCCTTTGGAGTGAGACTATCCTTGCAGTTAGACGATTTTCTAGTCTCCTTTGCAGGTAGGTGCACTCATGTGACTGAGATCTAGCCAATAGAATGTGAATGCAGCTAATGCTTGCCATTTCCAGACCTGAGCCATTAAAATTGCCCTGCACCTTCTCCATGCACTTTTCCTTCTCTTTATGTTTTTGCACAGGGATCTTGGAAGCCCCATGTTAAAGGTGGCAGAGCAACAAAAATTGAGGAAGCCCTGAATCCCTGAACTATTATTTGGAGATGACCACCCACTGATCCAGAACACTCATTATTGGGCTTTAGGAGAATGAGAAATTCTGTCATGCTTGAGACTCCGTACATCTTTGGATTTGTTTTAACTGCTAGTTTTACCCTGACTAACATGGCAATTGACAGCCTCTGAGAGGAGATTTGGAGAATCTGCTTTTTAAACAAGTACCCCAGGGGAGTTTGAGAATCACTGCTGAAAGCCAAGGGGAGCCAGTCACCCAAGGATTTAACGCTGACCAAGGAACACCACGCTATTTGCATTTTAGAATGACAGCAAGGGAGCAGAACTCTGCTCCCTTCTTCTTTGCCAAGGAGAACAATCTATTGACTCAAAAGAAAAAGAAACTTTGGTAAGAGAAAATTGAAGCTCTAGATGAGTAAAAAGATTCTAACAGTACCAAGCTGCCGTAAATGAGCTCAAGTCTCTTGGCCAGGACAAATTACACTCCAGGGAGTAGAGAGAACTCGCCTCTGAAGCTGTAAAGCCTCTGCTGATAATCTTTACAGAACATGGAGACTGTGAAAGAAATTGGAACGCTAGAGATGGCAAAATATAGCTCTGATTAGTAAAGAGGGGGAAAGCTCCTGCAAACTACAGAAGTGGGGCTCTCCTATCCATCCTCATTAAGTTCTCTGATCAGACTACTTAAGGCTGACTTGTGAGCACGTGAAAAATGGAGCAGAATCCTCTAGAAGCCTGTGTGGGTTCTTTAAGAGCAAGCCACGACAAGGTAACTGTGTTCCCAGTTTCGTGGTGGGCTTGCTAGATTATTTTGTCAGGGAATTGTGTTAGCTATGGTAGAGACAAAGCACACCTCGGCTTGTCTGTCTGTCAAGGAATCTCATGATAAATTTGTGCATGAGATGAAGTAATTTCAGCTGCAGACCAGCATGCCTGTTAGGTGGATTTAGAACTGTTTTTATGGCCATTCCCAAAGATGCTAGTCAATGTCCTTGCGGAAGTGCATTTCTAGTTGAAGGCACAGTCATTTTCGCATTTGATATTTTTATTAGTGTGTGGACATAGATGACTTAGTTAATACCTGACACATTTGGAGACGACATGCAGAGAATACTTTGGTTGACACACCAGGGCCCAAAGAACAGACTACAGTGCTAAGCTAAATGTAATGATATAAGATGAAACAGGGAAACGGTAGGGTGAGATGCTCCCGTTCAAACAGTCCCTGTGTGAGTGCAGGGCCAAGAGGCAAAAGCATCTGGCAGAGAGAAAAAAAAAACAAAAAACAAGAATCTCAGCTGACAGTAACATGGCACATTGTTTAGCTGCTCTAAGCCCATTGTGGTCTTGGGTTGAATTGAGGGAAGCATGAAAGAGATGCTCTTGACACCTGGAATGTGGCATTTGGTGGTGAGTTCCCCTTTGTGAGATGCCCTAGAGTGTGGAGACGAAGATGAGCGATGTGTCTCGGGGAGGGAGCTCTGAATCCTGTCATCTGAGAAACATTTAAGGAACTGGAAGAGGTCAGTCTGAAGGTAAGAAAACTCAGAGTTTAGGTATGAAGCCTCTGGGGTTAGCTGAGACCTGCATGCAATGATCCGAAGGCACGTCATTAGCAGAGGGGCCCTGGTTTTGGGAAAGGCCTAGCAGGCAAACTTCAGGTCCACCCCAGAGTGACCCTTCTGTACCCATCTCACAGCTTCCTGAAACAGAGGAGCTTCTCGGGGTGAGAGCGCCTGTCAGTGGAGATGACCGAGTGGAGAGAAGAAAGTCCCTTGGAAGAGCTGAAGGCCTCTGAGGGGTGTTTAGTCACAAAGGAATCATTAATGTCCCTCCAGGTATTAGTAGCTACTAGCACTGGCTGCCCTTGGAGACATCTTAGAATGTGCTGGGCACTGTGCTAAAGTAGGCTTAAAGCCCCGTGTAGTTTTCTTTTGCTTCTGTAGCAAATTACCCCAAAATCTGTGGCTTAAAGCAACATATATGGATTATCTTACAGTTCTGGAAACCAGAGGCCAAAATCGAGGAATCTGCAGGGCTGTGTTCCTTCAGGAGGCTCTAGGAGGCTTCCCTTGCGTTTTCCAGCTGCCAGGAGCTGCCTGCACTCCTTGGCTCTTGGCTCCTTCCTCTGTCTTCAAGGCCAGCAGCAAAGTGTCTTTAACTCTTTCTCTGACCTCTCTTCTGCCATGGCATTGCTATCTCTGACTCCGAACTGCCTGCCTCCTTCTCAGAAGGACCCTTGTGATTATGCTAGGTCCACCCAGATAGTCTAGGTCCCTCTCTTCATTTAAGCAAATCTGTGAAGTTCCTTTTGCCATATAAGGTAACAATATGCTCAGCTTTGGGGAATGAGGAAGACAACATCTTCGAGGGGCTGGTATTCTGTCTACCGCAAGTCCTTTGAAGTTCTTCACTTCCATTCATTTAATCTCTCATTACCTTGAAGAGTTGGGCATCATTTCCACTGCACAAATAGAGAAACAGAGACACAGAGAAGTTAGGTAAACACACAGCATTGCCATAAAATGGTGAGACTGGGATTTGAATCTGGTTGTAACTCTCAAAGCCAGACCCTTAACCACTCAGATGCTATACTGTGTGTGTTATTATTATTATTATTAGAGTCTATAACTCTAAGCACTAATAATTACTTTTCTTTAATGGTGTTAATTTAGTGGTGACATTATTGCAGCTTGTGTTTTTCCAAAATGTAACATAAGTTAGACACTTCTGGCTAATATGAAATATAACTGACCTCCCCCTGTTCTGTCCTTAGCATCCTCAGCTAACAGCTTTCTCCCCTCCTGGATTTTGTCACCTTGGGCCTTCTCAGCTACAGGAGTTTGAAGCAGTGTTATTTTCTGAATTTGGATCTGACAATCTTTGTAGACTAAAGGTTACACAGCTGCTAAAGTTTGTTTTTAACCCAAAGTAACAGAGTTGTCAGGGAGAATGTAAAAAGATTCTAGAAATGCAGGTTAAAAACCTACTGATTCTTCCAGGCAGCAGGAACAGCTCTGTGATTATGGCATTTAGGCCCTGGGCAGGCATAGAAAAGCACAGATCCGGTTGAAGCCCCCACTCCTCCTGGAGCTTAGGAGGGCCTATGGAGGTGGGCAGTGAGCAAGTGGCTGGGACAGTGAGTGTGTCCCATCTCTTCTGTGGTCGTCCTTCCAGGGTGCCCAGCCTTGGCCATTTGGAACCACAGAGTACCATCCACCCTCCAGCTGAGGCACAATTCTCTCCGTGCTGGGCTGGACTGGGCTGGGCCCTGGGTCCAAGTTGAGCTGGATGTGGGCTGCTCAAAGCCTGTTGGACAGAGCCTCAGGCACAGGTGGAGGGGCCGCTGTGATGCCAGGAAGAGGTTGCCACTCTAGCAGGTGGACGAAAGGGTCCACAGGACGCAGGACAGGCTTGCCTGAGGTTGGGGGCTCTGCACTGACTGTGATGCAAGGAATGGCTGGATGGCTGGAGAAAAGGGGAAGGGCCTCCTGTCCACTGGATTCAGATCCTATTCAACTGCAGGGACCACGCTGACCCTCCTGACTGATGCTTCCTCTATGGGCCACGCGGCAGTGCCATGGCCTCTTTTATCAGGTCTATGTTATAGGTTTGGTATTGATGGAGCACCTGGATTCTAGAAAGGAAGGAAATGAACATTTTTGAACCTATTCTTTTTGCCAGGCACTGGACCAGGAAGGAGAAAAATGGGGCCCTTTCTGGCCAGGTGCTTTCACTGACTCCAGGTACGAGGAAGAATACAATATGATTCCTGTCCTCAGAGATGGAAAAGTTTGCATGCCTGTGGATACTAGCCTTTACACAGACAACATAAGGACTGAACAGCGTGGTAATTAATGAAGATGAAAGAAGTAAAAAGAGTAACAAGTAATAAGTGAGAATAAGTATTAAACTAAGTACTGACTTTGGGAGTACCCAGGCTCCATTTTTATGCCAAATCTCTGGTGTTAAGGCATAAGAGATGCTGTGTCCCCTAAAAGGGGATATGTTCTAAGACATAGCACAAAACAGCAGAAAAAATAACGTTCTGCTGCTGACTTGTGTTCATTGTTCAACTTGTGGGCCACTAGGACTCTTGAATCTTCTTTCCCCATATTTGCATCTAATTAACATTTGCATAGTTGCTGTCTTTCCCTGAAATGTTTCTTTCTCAACACTCAGTATTGCCATAACAAGATGGGGAAATAGAGGAAATAATTTTTTTAAAATGTTCAATTGATTTCCTTTTTTAAAAAGACACCTTTTTTGAATTATTACATATCATAAAATTCATCTGTTTTGTGTGTGCAACTCAATGAATTTTAGTAAATTTACAGAGGTGTGCAGCCATCACAACCAGTTTTAAAACATTTCCATTACCAGAGAGAATAATTTAGGGGCACAATCCAATGAGTGTGGGCATATTTAACCCACTTGAGCATGCATTTCTGAAACTGTTGTACTTAAGAAAATCTGTCAGCAAATTTTGAGTTGCTTCATGATATACTTTTGCAAAACAAAGTAAAATGCAGCAGAAGGAAGGATCTCTGTGCCTGAAATCCTAAGAAACCATTATCTATTTTGCAGATCATTTCATTAATAAACAGATTATTACAAAAATAATTATTTTCGAGATGACATGTTTTCTATTGGGACACATAAAAAGTCTTTAAATTTGCTCTTCAAAAAAATCACTTACACCCACAAAACTACTTCAGTCAAGAAAGTAAATCTAGGTATGGGAAAACCACGGCAAAAACAGCTTTACCTTTTTGTCTTTAAAATTTAGTGTATTCATTTTCGTTCGGATTCTCTTTTCTCTCCTGATTGTTTGGAGGAAGGATTTCTCTGGTGAAAAGTACCCCGATCTGATGCCTTTGCAAAAGCAGTCACCCCTCTGGCATGAAAGGCACCATTCAATCATCCAAACTCTTAGAGGCCAAGGGTACACTGAATAATGAAGGCTCAAATGGTTTCTATTGTATTGTAAATACCCATTTTAGAAAACCCAATAGTCAGAAAGTTGAGAATCTGTTGCTAGCTTCTCTGTTGGGTATTCCGCTGCTTTCATGGTGGATCCTTCTAATATGGCTTCTTAGATGGGGGTCAAATCCCCTTCCTCCTAAAATCCCACACCTTATCCTCCTTATGCTGTAGGTCAACAGATATAGCGAACTGTCTCTTCCCAAGCAGGAGGGGAATCGTTCTTCCAGTCGAGTACTGGGAAAAACGTGATCCCAGGGTCAAGCTTTTAAAGTGCTCTCAAGTTCTATTATAAGGATATGAAGCGGTAAATATTGTGTTGCTGTTTACTTTTAATTAGACAGACACAGACACCCAGAAACAACCTTGCATCAGAGACTTATTTAATTTTTATTTTATTTTATTTTATTTTTTGAGAGAGAGTCTCTCCCTGTCACCCAGGCTGGAGTGCAGTGGCGCAATCTCTGTTCACTGCAACCTCCGCCTCCCGGGCTCAAGCAGTTCTCCTGCCTTAGCCTCCCAAGTAGCTGGGATTACAGGCGCCCGCCACTGTGCCTGGCTAATTTTTGTATTTTTAGTAGAGACAGGGTTTTGCTATGTTGGCCAGGCTGGTCTTGAACTCCTGACCTCGGGTGATCCGCCCGCCTTGGCCTTTCAAAGTGCTGGATTACAGGTGTGAGCCACTGTGCCTGGACTAATATTTATTTGTAAATTTAAAAGGTTGACATTATCATATATTCAGAAAAGTACACAATTTTAAGAGTACAGCCTGATAAATGTTTACATAGTAGACAAACTCATTTCAAGATAGATAACATCACCCACATCCCCAAGGCTTCCTATGCCCCTTCCACTTGTTACCTCCACAAAGTAACCGACATCTGCCTTTCTTCAAAATGGTTTTGTTTCATGAATGGAATCTCACACAGTATTATTTTTCTGTATCTGACTTTTTTCATTCAACATTAGTGACTGAAATTCATCTATGTTGTTGCCTGGAGGAGTAGTTCAATGTTTACATTGTTGTATAGTATTCCACTGCATGAATACACTATGATATATTTAATGTTTTTACTATTGATGAACATTTGGGTAGCTTCCAGTGTTTTTTAATCTCTTAGAAATAGTTTCCCTAAGAACATTTCAGGGCATATTCAGTATGTCTTGGTAGTCATTTCTCAGATTGAATCACTGGATCATGGCAATGCAACATTCAGCTTTAGTGGATGGGATGATAAAGACTTTCTAATTCTGGCCAGCTGAGGTGGCTCATGCCTGGAATCCCAGCACTTTGGGAGGCTGAGGCAGGAGGATCACTTGAGTCCAGGAGTTTAAGACGAGCCTGGACAACATAGTGAGAGCTTGTCTTTACTAAAAATAGAACAAAGAAAAATAAAAGCTTTCTAATTCTTTATATTATTTAACAATATTTGCAAGTTGTATGTGTGCTTTTTTTAAAAAAGAAATTGTCTATTTCATCTAAATTGTCAAATTTTGGGGCAGAAAGTTGTTCAGAACATCATCTCATTGCCACTTTGATGCTTGTGTGGATTTTTAGTGATGGCACCCTTTTCATGATTTATATTAGCAGTTCATTCCTTCTTTTTTCTTGATCAGTCTTTTGAGAGATTTGCAAATTGTATTAGTTTTTTCAAAGAACTGATTTTTGGCTCTGTTGATTTTTTTTCTATTTTATGTTTATTTCATTTTTTGGCTTATATTTTTATCATTTTTTCATTCTAATTTATTTGTCTTAATTTGCTGTTCTCTATCTCCTAGAAATAGTCACTAGATCAATGATTTTCTCTCATTCTTTTTTTCTTAAAATACATATTTAAGGGTATACATTATTCCTTTAAGCATAGTTTCAACTCTATTTTACAAGTTTTAACATGTTGGTTCTTCATTATTATTCAGTTCAGAATATTTTCTAATTTCCATTAAAATTTTAAATTTCTGATTTGTTGTTTGGAAACATGGCTTATTTAGAACTGTTATTTAGTCATTTTCAAACATTTGGGGATTTAAAGAATGTTTCCTATTAATTTTTAGTACATTTTCACTCTTGTAAGAGGACATACTCTGTATGATTTCAGCCCTTTGAAATGTACTGAAATCTGCATCATGACTCAGAATATGATTTATTTTGTTAAATGTTCCACGGACACTTGAGAAGAATGTAATCCCGTTATTGCTGGGCTCCGTGTTCTGTATATGTCACTAAGTTCACCCTTGTTTATCATGTTGTTCAAGTCTGTATCTTTACTGATTTATTGTCTGAAAGTTTATTCTATCAGTTGCTGAAAGATGTATTTGAAATCTTCAACTATGATAATGGATGTGTTTTTACTTTTACTTTTGTCAGTTTTTGCTTTGCACGTTTTAGGTTTTCTTTTTAGGTGCATACAAACTTCAGATTATCAAATCTTCCAGCTGAATTGACTTTTTGTCATTATGAAATGCTCCTCTTTATCTCTGGAGATACTTCTTGCCTTACAGTCTTGCTTTGTCTGATATCGGGATAGCTAAGCCAGCTTTCTTTTGGTTAGTGTTTTCATGGCAAATTGTTTCTGTTTCTGTCTGTTGTTAAGTAACATATAGCTGAGTCTTCTTGTTTTGTTTTGTTTTTCTAGTCTGGCAATCTTTTTACTTTAATGGATTATTGAGTCTAGTTAAATTTTAATACTTTCCTGATATTTTTGGTGTTCATTCTGTGATTTTATTATTTGTTTTATATTTGTTCTATCTAGTTTTGTTCCCTTTTTCTCTTTGCAGCCTTCTTTTAATTGTTTTTAATTGTTCTATTTCCTCCCTCTATTAGTTTGTTAGTTATACATTCTTTCATTATTTATTCAGTATTACCCAGAGTGGGGGCTGATGAACTTCTTCTGTAAAGGGTTAAATAGTAAATATTGGCCAGGTGCGGTGGCTCACGCCTGTAATCCCAGCACTTTGGAAGGCCGAGGTGGGCGGATCACAAGGTCAGGAGATCGAGACCATCCTGGCCAACATGGTGAAACCTCGTCTCTACTAAAAATATAAAAATCAGCTGGGTGTGGTGGTGCACACCTCTAGTCCCAGCTACTCGGGAGGCTGAGGCAGGAGAATCACTTGAACCCAGTAGGCCAAGATTGTAATAAGCCGAGATCGTGCCACTGAACTCCAGCCTGGTGACAGAGCGAGACTCCATCTCAAAAAAAAAAAAAAAAAAAAAAAAAAAAGTAAATATTTTAGGCTTTGAGCACCACCTTCAGTCTGTGACTTTCCTTCTTCTTCCCAATCCTTCTCCTCCTCCTCCTCCTTTTCCTTCTCTTCCTACCCCCACTATTCTTTAAAAATATGAAAAACATTCTTAGCTCTTCAACTGTACAAAACAGGCTCTGGGTTTGATTTTGGCAATGGTGACAGTTTAACAACCTGTACTAGAGATTTACCATACGTCTTAACAGAATCTACCCTTCAGTTAATAATTTCACCACTTTCTGGGCAATACAGGAACCTCACACAACTTTAATTCCATTTACCTAGCTCTCTTCTTCTGTTATGCTAGTTTGGTCATGCTTTTTTTTCTCTACGTATTTGAAATCCTATAAGACATTCTTATGTTTATTGTTTGAAATAGACTATGTGCATTTCAGTGTACTCTCATATGTACCATTTCTTGCTCTCTATTGCTTTCTGCATTGCCGTTCTTCTAACTTAGATTGTTTTGTCTGAGTAAACTCCCTTTAAAGTATTTTTTTAGTGTGTCTATGTTGACAACATTTTTTTTAAATTAAAAAAATGTCAATAGCTGTTGGAGTACAAGTAGTTTTTGGTTACATGGGTGAGTTATACAGTGGTGAATTCTGAGATTTTAGTGTACCAGTCACCCTAGTCGTGTACATTGTACCTAATGTGTATTTTTTAAAAATCCCTGGTCTCCTTCCCATCCTCCCCCTTCTGAGACTCTGAAGTCCATTATAACATTCTGTATGCCTTTGCATACTCATAGCTTAGCTCCCACTTATAAGTGAGAACATATGTATTTGGTTTTCCACTCCTGTGCTACTCCACCTAGAATAACAGCCTTCAGCTCCATCCAAGTTGCTGCTAAATAAATTATTTTGTTCCTTTTAATGACTGTGTAGTAATCCATGGTGTGTATATACACCACATTTTCTTTATCCACTCATTGACAACACATTTCACTCAGTTTTTATTCACCTGAGATATTTGTTAACCTTCATTTGTAAGGGTATTTTCACTGGATGTAGAATTCTAGACTACCAGTTATTTAATTTTGGTGTTTATCTTCATCCTTCTCTTGTCTTCTGGCTTTCACTGCTTGTGTGGAGTAGGTCTTGTGGCTCCTTAATGTATCTTTTTTTTCACCTCCTATGGCTATTTAAAATTTTTCTCTTGTCTTTGATTTTTTTGGAGCTCTACTCTAACGTGCCTTTGTATAGTTTTTTTGTTTTGTTTTGTTTTTCTGTGTTTGAATTTTGTTCGAGCTCCTTGAATCTGTATATTAATGTAATTCTTGGGTTTTATCTCCTCAGACATGGCTTCTGTCCATTTCTCTCTTCTCTGCTTCTTGAGCTTAAATTCCATTTATGTTGGTTCTTTTCATTGTGTCCCATATCTTATGCTTCTCTCTCTCTGTCTCTCTGTGTCTCTCTCCTTCTCTGTGCATACATATGTGTTTAATCTTTTTTCCTTCTGCTTTAATTTGGTTATTTTTCTACTGACCTAATTGCTAATTTTCTAATCCTTTCTTCTGCTGTTAAATCCATCTATTGAATTTTTCTCTTTCTTTCTTTCTCTCTTTCTTTCTTTCTTTCTTTCTTTCTTTCTTTCTTTCTTTCTTTCTTTCTTTCTTCACCCAACAACAACAACAACAACAACAACAACAACAACAACAACAACAACTCATGTGCGTAACAACCCTGCCTTCGGCTACTGTTTGCAGCTCTCCTCCCTCCCTCCCTCCCTCCTCACTTCTCTCTCTCGCTCTCTCTCTGTCTCTCTCTCTCTTTCTCTCTCTACTTTCCTTGGAGACCTTTCTTTCTTTCTTTCTTTCTTTCTTTCTTTCTTTCTTTCTTTCTTCTTTCTTTCTTTCTGTCTGTCTTTCTTTCTCCTTCCTTCCTTCCTTCCTCCCTCCCTCCCTCCCTCCCTCCCTCCCTTGCTTCTCTCTCTCGCTCTCTCTCTGTCTCTCTCTCTCTTTCTCTCTCTTTCCTTCGAGACAGAGTCTTGCTGTGTCTCCCGGGCTGGAGTATAGTGGTGTAATCATAGGTCATTTCAGTCTTGAACTCCTGGGCTCAAGCAATCCTCGCATCTCAGCCTCCCCAACAGCTAGGACTACAGGTGTGTG